TCGCTCACTCCCCCCACCCGGTGGGATGGGGGAGAGAATTGGAAGAGCACAAGTTAGAAAAGGTTGAGATAAAAACAGTTTAATAATTGAAATAAAATGATAAATGATAATAATAATACACAAAGCAAGTGATGCACAGTACAATTGCTCACCACCCACTGACCGATGCAAAAACAGCCTTCTCAGTCGGTAGAGCATGGGAAACTGAAAAGTCCTTGGCTAGTGTAAGCATTACCTAGCAACAACTAAAACATCGGTGTGTTATCAACTTTGTTCTCATCCTAAATCCAAAACACTGTACCAGCTACTAGAAAGGAAATTAACTCTATCCCTGCCGAAACCAGGACAGCATGAATTCAGTTCAGTATTTTAGTGGAGCAGGTTGCATGTTCCTGTATTTTCCTGCCACTTTATACTGAGTTAGATGTGCTCCTGTAACTGTGGCTATCTAAGATGCCATCTTAGATGTCTAAGATGGCAAGATTTGCAGAGACAGGTACCATCTATTACACTTGGAGTAAACGGACGTTTGGGAGGGAAATACAATTCTTGTTGTACATCTGATCTAGACACAACAAACATCAAGCTGGGAGTGATTGCTCTGAGTATAACATAATATTACTAACATTTTGAGGAGGAGATAGTTGGCAAAGAGGGGTGAGACAATGATGGGCCTATAGGTCAGATAGAGGTTGTTTACTTGTGTGGAACAGGGATGGTTTAACAGTTGGCGAGATGTGAGGAAAAGTGTAAAAATATTTAATGGTTATAAAATGTTTATTGAGTAAATACTCAGTCCTTGGTTTTTAATGTTCTGAAAAGTTATGACTTTTAGTTCCCATGCTTGTCTTTGAAGGTATGTTGTAGGTCCTTCTGGAAGATCAGGAGAAGTTTTCCTTGTCCCAGCTAGGTGTTTCTGTTCTTCACTGACTGCCTCTGTGAGTTCATTCTGCTGTGGAGTAGTTTCACTTGCGTCATCTCCACAGAGCCATTTAAATGCCTCATGAACATAGTGGATCTGTGTGTAGATATTTATTTATTTATCTATCTATAAATCCATCCATGGATTCTGGTGACTCAGTTGTGCAGCTTTTTTTTTCAATGTCTATACTGATGTTCTACCATGCACATATCTATCTCAACAACATGAGGAACACGCTCATCAAACAAGGACATCTTCTAAGATGTCAGAGTGTACCTTTGAATGAATGACCACATTACCACACAGAGACTTAGGACACTATAAAAATGCCCTCACCAACCATTTATTTGTTGAAATCTATACAGGAATTCATTAATAATACCATAAACTGAAAGAAGCTTGTAACTCCTACCATGTTTTCCTAGAATATTCCTTTCTCCTTCACCTGTGAAGAGCTCCAGGTGTTCCAGACACAGTATCAGAAATAAACTTCCAGCAACAAATAACAAATGCAGTAAGATTATGCTAAGCCATAAACACAAAACTTTCCAACACATTTCCCTTTACTCAGGGTTTTTTTCACCATCTTGCCAGGTGAATATTCTCTCTGCATTTCTTTGCTATCCCATCACTTCTTACCACTGTAAAACTGGCATAGTGAGATGAGCCCCAGCATAATGTGGAGCTGTTAACCACAGCAAGCTCAGAGGTGAACCCTGGCACCTGGGTGCGAGATCAAGAAGTTGAATCTCGGCAGCTGGAATATCCCATTGCTCCTGCCGGTACTGGTGAGGATATCTGTGGACCACGGGGTTAGCAGGCTTGGTGTCCTGTAGGCTTTCTGTCCTACCCAATTGTCTTTGGTGTCTGAGGACATATGAGCATTCTTGGAGACTTTCAGAAGGGAAGGCTTACACCAAGAGTGGCGTTAAAATCTCGGCCTCAACCTGCCGCTCCTGCCGACCCATCTCGGCCCTCCCAGCCAGCAGCAGGAGCATTAGCTTCAGCAAGAGTTGGAATGACTCACTAATTAACACCACAGGAGGAAGTGTGAAATCCATCAAATACTATGAACTGCAAAAAGTAAGAAGGGCAGTAGATTTGTTCTCATACCACTGTTACAGTTTAACCCGGCAGGCAGCTAAACACCACACAGCTATTCGCTCACTCCCCCCTGCAACCCAGTGGGATGCGGCAGACAAAACAAAAAAGTAAAATTCATGGGTTGAGATAAAGACAGTTTAATAGGACAGACAAGGAAGGGAAAATAATAATAATAATAATGATAAAGGAATATACAAAATAAGTGATGCACAATGTAGTTGCTCACCACCCGCCGACCGATGCCCAGCCAGTTCCCAAGCAGCGGTCACCCCTCCCCCGGCCAATTCCCCCCAGTTTATATATTGAGCATGACGTCACATGGTATGGAATATCCCTTTGGCCAGTTTGGGTCAGCTGTCCTGGCTGTGCCCCCTCCCAGCTTCTCGCTGGCAGGGCTTGAGAAGCTGGAAAGTCCTTGACTAGTGTAAGCACTACTTAGCAACAATTAAAACATTGGTGTGTTGTCAATGTTATTCTCACCCTAAATCCAAAGCACAGCACTGTACCACCTACTAGAAAGAAAATTAACTCTATCCCAGCTGAAACCAGGACAACCACTTAGGAGATTTTAGGGCAGACTGATCATTTCAACGTAGTGCTGTTCTGCTGCTTGGATACTAAATTTATAGATATGCATCAAAGAAGTCTGTGGAAGAAACATTACCAGAATGTTGTGGTTTAAGAAATGTCCTTCCCACCATCAGGTGAAACCTACCTGGCTTGATGACATCTTAGAGGAAGGAGAGTGCTCATTAGTAGGGAGTATCCCACCTCCAGTACTACTCTATCAAAAAAAAAAGATAGCTGGCAGCATCTTCCAACAGCTTACATCTATTGAAACTTTCTCTGTGATAAAATGAGCAGCTGCATCAGCCTCCAGACCAATAGCCTAGGCAACTAAAACAGGCATGGATGGCATCTTGCTTCTAGACAGGTCCCTCAGTTCTCTTAGGTTCTTGGGTGGCAGCAGAAAGCATAGTTTCTCAGTCTCAGGTTGACTGGGGTTGAGAATCACTTTCTTTTGTCCATGCTTCTCTAAACTTCCATGTAATCACATATGCACATTCTTCAGGAGCACTGTGATCTATGTAATAATCCCTGATGACCTACCCACTTACCAAAGGTTGAGAAAAATCCATGCCAAGTCAAAAATGTGAAAAGAAGTGAGGAACTTGTAGATTGCAAGGTCTTGGATTTATGGCTTAGTGCAGTCATCTAGCTAATAATGCAGTAGATTTGGAAGTTTGGGTTTGTTTGGCTTTTTTACTATTTCCCAGAATTTAGGTTTGATTCACCCTTGCTGGGAAGAGCAGATTCAAGTTGCCAACGCCCAAGTGGTGGAAACTGTCTGAGGGAAAGTCTGGTTCATGTTGCTGCTTAAACCTCTTCACTTTAACCATTCCAGGTCCTCAAAGCATACCCATTTTTGATCGCTTCTTCTGACTGCTGGTCAGACATCTTTGTGATGGACTGTCAGGGCCTCTGTACTCACTGGTAAACTAACAAAAACCGAATGACTTGGAGATAAAATTCACCCACCTTGTCCACTCCACAGCAGACACGACAAATGCAGGTTCCCTAGGTAGCATTTAACATATGACACTTGAAAGGTCCCAAATGAAGGTATAAGGTTGTGCTTTGGATATATGTGAATTTATATACCACTGTCTTTCTGCAATGGCAAGCTTAGCTAGACAGACCAGACTCTGGAAGCCTGAAAATATTTGCAAACATATTTAGCTCAACTGTAAATGCTGTAGGCAAATTGACTTTGCTCACCTGTTAGGAATGAAATGAGCTGTATAACTCATTAGTGTGAGGTTCTTCCAGCCCAGATGTGCAAAGGACAGCAACCTGCTGTGCATCTAAGCTAGTGAGCACAGACTTGAGGTTTTGAAGACCTGTGGGTGTTAGCCAGGGTGGTGATCCATGCAGGATCTAGGTATTATATAATGAGCAAAGTCCACTTAAAATTTTGCCCTATTCACATTTGGCAAGTATCAGAGCTACCGATATCACATACCTCACATCTCTGTTTCACATGCAAATACTTCTTGTATCTAAGCGCCACTTTTGTCAGAACACTTAGAAAAGTTCCCTAGGAATCACCTGTAATCATGTCCCATGTAGAACTGCAAGAACTGGACTGATTTTACCCTTCTGAAGGTTCATTTATCTGAGTTAACATTGTTTTATATTAAATGTTACTCAAAGAGCAACTAGTCAAGTATAAGCTATGTTCAATTTATTTTTTACAGGAATAGCTGGTGAAAGTAGACGGGAGAAATGGGCAGGGTTCAGGAGGAAATGCACACAGAGACACACACAAGCACACAATCACCAAGTCCTGGGGACTGACTGGCTAGCCCAAAAGGTCCCTGGAGAGTCCGGATTCTTGGACCTGGCGGCATCCTGCAGCTTCAGCTCAGCGTGCACAGCAAGATAAATCCTTCTGGCAGCTCCTGGCTGTGCCTTTTATAGATTCTGGGCTGCCAGGCCAAGTCTCTGCTGGAAGCTTCTGGGGTCGCACAGATGAGTCTCCCAGGGCCAGCCATGCTTGTACATCCCAGCCAGACTCATCTGGGGGCTGGAGAATGTGATCTCCCGAGCGCTGCGTGCAAACCCCTCTTCTGACTTCACCCTGCCCTTAGTCAGGTGAAGGGCCAAGGTGCCCTTGGTCTCACTCATCCACGCTATGGAGCTGCAAGGTCTACCCAAGCCTACAGGGGGAAACATCCTAGTCTCACACTGGTGACCACGTAACACATTGGAATAACAAAACCAGACTCGGGCAATGAGAACACTCATCATAACAAACTGCCCCACAGAGTTACAAAAGAAATGTGGTTTCAGATACGCCCCTAACCAGCTGCAGGCAGTTATGGTCTTAGCTGCATCTGTGCCTGACATTAACAGAGGAAAACAGCAGGCTGTGTGAAAAAAAATGCCACCCATCTCCTCTCCCTGTCCTTTTCACTATCAAAGTGCCCATTCATGTAAGTATCCACTTGCTGCTGACCTTCTGCCAGCTCACCCAGCCTACTCTGCTTGGTTCTCAGGCTCTCTGCCCTTGGCTCCCTCACCCCAGCCCAATCTGCAGAAGAAGCTTCTGCAATTCTGTTTGCCAGAAGTCCTAGGATTTCTGCTTATTTGGCTCTAATGCCCTTACCAGCCATCTGAGGCCTGTTAGTGTTTGCTATCCCATGTGGTTCTGAGATGTTAAAAGAAACCTGAGGAATTTATTGCTCAGCAGATTTATCATAACATGATACTTAGCTGAAGATCCCAGGGGGACAAAGAAATTTCTCCGGCGGGCATCTCGACGGACAGAATTGTTCAATTACTGTAGGTAAAGGTACTTTAACAAAGGCCCAATACATGCAGTTTGTTCCACCGGGAAATGAAGAGTGTATGTCCCTGTCATTTCTGGTATTATGCCTTTTCTCCAGACAGTTTGCATGATTCTCTCTGGGAATACCTAGATCGCTAACTCTCCTTTTCCCTTTCGCCACTTGCCCAGTCCATCTTTACCACTTGGTACTTGTTCCTCTACTTGTTGTTCTGTCTCTTTCCCAGCTTGCAGTCCCCCGGCCAGGCCCTGCCCAGCTCCCCCCCCACCAGACAGCTTCCTTTCAGCTCCCTGCCCCTTTTTCACCTGCTGATCTGGTTCCTCCCCTCCTTCCCCGGTATTTCCTTTCTGCTCCCACTTTTCTTTGTAAATCTCGCGCTTTAACAGCCCGGTTCTCTCCCACCTGATTTTCCAGGCCGGCCTGGTTCCCCCTCCCCCTAGCATCCCCCTTCTCCGGGCCCACACCTACACTTGTTGCCCACGGGAGGAGCTGCTCTGCTGGGCGAGCTGGACCCTGGG